AGGCAGTTTCATAGCAAAAGGACTCAAAGGCAAGACAGCTTCTGATGAATACCAGGGGAAGAGTGGGGAAGAAGAGGGAGAACAGTAGGCAGAGGGAGGCAAAACAGCTTTTACTACGCTGCTACCTTTGGCAATATCTCCTACAATCAACCCTAGGACCATGCCCAGCTCTGCTGGCAGAAGTACTAGTGCAGACAGAGTACCGTATCTACCAGCCTTCTTTTCAACATACTGCTAGGCTTGCTTGAGCTGAGATGGTAAAGAAACGGCGAACTTATAAACAGGAGCATAAAATACTTAGGCACCAAGCCCATGCTGAACTCCATGGTTCTTTGGCTCAGTGGCTAACAGTACCTGAATAATAATAATGAGCTAGTTTAGGCATGTCTACACCACACTGCAGCTGCTGCTGTTGCTGGAATAAAGTAAGTCAGTTCAACAAAAGCAGCTATCCCAAAGCAAGGCAAGGACCCATCACATCGTAGTCAAGATCTCAGTTCAGCTGGAGCTATTGATTATGTAGCAAGAAAAAGTAATTTCCTCTTTTTGGGCCAAATCCTGCTGCATCCTTAATTCACTTCTTGCCAGTATATTTTGTGTCTAAGCTGTTAGGATTCAGTCAATGAGTTTTTCAAAAAAAGTCCTTTTTGCAGGACAGGGGCCTGATGAAGCACTGGGCAAAGACTTATGATATTTAGTTATTTTCCTCAGCTGATCTACTGCCCTGTGTGAAGTCTGGCTTGTCACTTTATTATGGCTGCATATCTCCCAGCTTTAAAAAAAACCAAGAGATAACAATACTTAACACTGTGCTTTAAAGCACTTTGGTATCTACAGATTAAGACCTACAAATGAAGAAGGGGAAAATAGAAAAGTATCTGACAGGTTGAGCTCCAGTGTGGAAACACACCCTCAATTGTCTGCTGGATTCTGGTCCTTCACCTAGTTGAATCAGATCTCAGATCAAAAATTACCTGACAAACAAAGAAAAATTTTATTTCTGTCCTCTCATTTAGGCTGACTAGTACAAGATATTTTGGGCTTTAATACTGAGAGTTGTAAAACATTTTACATTTCCCATTGCCATAGGAAGGAATTTTAGATGCTCAGTACACAGAATAATCAGACTGAGACATAGTAGAACAAGGTCCCAAAACATGGGCACCTAAATCCAAATCTTTTGAAAAACTCAGTTTTAACAAAGGCATAGTCACATAGACCCTGAATGTGTTACCACTTTCAGACTGTTCTTTGCTGTTACATATTGCTGACATCTAAAGTTCTTCAAATACCACTCTGTCAAGCTTTGTGGTTTTATAGAGCAGGATCATCCCTGCCCCATCACATTGTTAAAGGCCAAACTGATAACACTGTGGGAAAGCCCACAATGTAGTCTAAATCACAAGGACACTTTGGGCATATCTCAAGCAGGTAGCTGGAAAGCTCTGTTCAGTTCTTAGGTCCATGTCCAGTGCTTATCATTGGCATCCCATATCCATACAGTAGAGCAAGACCTGGGCATACACTTTCTGCATAGAGAATGAAGGGATGAGGACTTGACAGCATGCCACAGTTAGCTAGTGTGAATGAACCTTGAATGGAGTCAGCATTCCTCCATCCTTCCTCTCTGCCTTTAGACAGCAGGATGTATGACTTTAACTGCTCCCCAGTGGGGTACTCAGCGATCCAGAGAAGATCTGCTTTAGATAAAACTTCAAACACAAGATCCCTACCCCCACTGCCAGCACTCTTGTGCACAAACACCACTTAATTCCAGACTCCAGACTCAGGGCGAGGCAGGGAAAGAACCCAACAGCAGAGGCCATAAGACTGAATGCCCACTCAAAACACTGCAAAAAGAAAGCCAGAAGATTTCAAAAGCACCTTCAGATACATTAAAAATAAAAAATAGGGAAAAAAATCAACATTGGTAACTTGTAAACTCTATAAAGGCTCAACTCTATTTTTGAGGCACAAAAGTTCAAGACATTGTAAAGTGCAAGTGCACCTTTACAGTATTTTCTACTTGTGGTTTGGGAAGGTATTTTTTAAATGCTTCTTGCTAGGGACATTTTCATCATATGCCTGTATTTCAGTCTCAGATTCTCAAGTGTATGGCAGAGGTAAAATCTCAGAACTTAATTTTCTTCAAACACAGTTTGAGCCTTGCACATATAAATCTGGGCAGAATTCATCCAGGTGCATATAAGCTATTAAAGAGGAATGCAAAATATAGTTTCCTTTTAAAGACAAAGAAACCCAAATATTCACAGATACGTTTTTTAGACAGGAAAGTCAGCTCTGCAGTTTCCAAGGCTAGCCACAAACTATGAAGAATAATTGTAACACACAAGAAAATATTTCTTCATCAGAGTCACACTACTTTGAAAGAGCCTAACAAACCCAGCATTTCTGAATAGCTGTGTTAGTGCTCTGATGGCTTTAGTGAGGTGTGAATTGCACAGATTTCAAATAGGGACTACTTAAACACCAAAAAAGATACTATAAAATGATAAATTTTTTTACATGAAGGACATTAACATCAAAAAACCACTTTTCCAAGACTGTGAAAATAACAAAATAAGACCTAAAAGATAAAAGAATGAAAAAGTTTGAGTAGCAACTGTCTTCTGAATGCTTAGCACACATAGTACGACTCTCAGATCTGATTTAATAGGTAGTTAAATATACTATGCATTTTGATACAAAGCAGATACTCTGAAAAATAGTATGCTCAAGAGGGAAATGCTGATATTATTGCTAGGAGTTTAGCTGTTCTATTTCCTTACTTCATTTTAATGATGCAAACTTCATATTGTTTCAACATTCTTTTCCTGTGCTACAAATATCCATAGCCGGAATTTTTTTTTGCACACACTGAAGCCAAAGTTCATATGTTTGCATCCAGTTTTTTCATGTACCCTCTGGATGGTGCATACCATGTTGCCGTGTCAAGTCTCTGCCATCAGCAGGGGAAGTTACACTGCTCGGTTAATACTCTTGTAAACTTTGCTCCTTCTTTAGTTCCTATATATTTTGCTATTTTTCAGGAATGTGAAAATGGCTAAGATTTTAACAGAAGTCCCCTACCAGATTTAGCTATTCCAGCTAAAGATGTCCCCACTCTCCAGCTGCCTGCCAGCTGAAGATTAGGACTCTAATAGCTCTTTGGCAGAGGGAAACCTGCAAACTTTAACAGCTACAAGTAAAACACATCAGGCAAGGACTAAGGAACTTTTCTGGTTTAGGCAGCACTCAAATATATTATTTCATTTTCAGAGCTGAAGACAGAGAAAAGTCTTCACCTGGCATAGCTATTTGTAGAATTAGACTGTGGAGAGGCACCATCTGTGGCTGCTCAAGCAGAGGTTATGCCACTGGCTTCAAGAACAAGAGCAAGCATAGAGGAATGCTCCTCTCCCTTGTTTTGCTGAGTCCACCAGTAATAACAATGCACTAATGAAAAATAGCTTGGCTTGAGCAACAAAACACATACCGGAGTGTGTTCAGAGACTATTCAGAGCAAGCATTCAGTTCTACATGTACACACAGAAATAAAATCTGATTTAACTAAAGTCTGGAAGCACTAGGACAATCATATGCTACATTACATTTGAACACACTACCTTTTGTCAGTCTATTACGTAGAGTATGATAACACACTCCCTTCTACCTTTGCCTCATTTAGATCCCTCCTAAACTTTCACTACTACTGCACAGCCTCTGCCTAAAAGAGCTTGTGTGTTAACACCCAGCAAAAATCAAAAAACGAGAAAAAGATTTCTTGGGTGTACTCCTGCCTAAGTTATGTAACCACGATATTTGCTCACTGGAAACCACCATCACCCCTTTCAAACTGTACGCTGAAATGAATTTCTCCAATGCTGGGCTGTCAATTCCATCATTTGTGCAAGTACATTCTAAACGTTCAATTTGCTGTGGATGCTTTGCAGAAACTCCTCACTGTTGTTGTTGTTCAGGACCTTGTTTAGCACCAGCAAGCCCACACCTGTGCTGGCAGGGCATTAGCTGTGCACTGAGACAAATCTCAAAGCGGCCCGGCAGCCTACTAAGGTCAGCTTCAGGCAAGAGATACTGTTTCATGTTCTCAGTGACCTTGGCCGTGGTGGGAGAGGAAAGGAAGCATGTTAAGCTGTCATAATAGAGCTGGTAGCAATTTTGATAGCAGGAGAAGGAGGACAGAGTGAGATTTAAGTCAGTTCTGGTGCCAGATCAGAGACCAGGATTGCCAGAAAGAGCTTCCCCTTGGGTTCTTGTTTTAATTCAGATTCCTTCAGACAGCTTCTACAGAACCCAAACAACTACGTTATAACCACAGACAGGCCTAACCATGATGTCTGGCTCCAGATCTAAACTCCTTAGAGCCAGACTGTTAGCTCAGCTCTCCAGAAAAATCATCACCATTTTCCAAATGTGAGTGTCAGGGGGGCTATTAGTGCTCTCTCTTCTCTCCAGGGAAAGGCTCCATACTCTTTGTGTGTCTTGCTCGATTAAAAGATACATTTTTAAAATAAAAATGAAGGAAAATAACTGATTAAGTTCCTCAAAGGAAGAGGATGTTCTGTCTGCAGACAAGGAACAAGCTTTTCCAGGAGAAGCCCTCTGCATGCAAGCTATGCAATGTGCAACATAAGTTCCGCAGCTTCCAAAGAGAGGAAAGACCAGTTTTGCAGTGGTTCTCTCCAAAGCGACACCATCCATCTCAGTCCTGCCTCATCTCCCAGCCACATTGTGTCTGAAAGAGCCCTCAACCCTGCCCTGAGGCTGGAATTCTCACTGGTCTGAAGGAGAAGGTACAGCTCCTGCCCTTGTCAAAATACCATCACCCAAGTGTCACTCAGTGTACCCACATCAGGTGTCTGTGGCCAGGTGCTCGCTGTGGGGTGGCTGCAGGGTGGCCTTTGTGAGGAGTGGCCAGGGCTGCCCTGTGCTGGACACGGACCGTTCCAGAAGGTTCCAACCAACACACCATAGGACACAGCTGAGCCCCTCAGCCAAGATGGTAGTTGGTGCTTGGGGAAAATGTGTTTAAGAAAGGGCAGAAAACACGGCACAGGTGAGGAGTGAGAAATGGCTCCACAGACACCCTGGTCAGAGTAGAAGGAGGGGAGGAGGCACTCCAGGTGCCGGAACAGACAGTCCTCTGCACCCCTGCCGAGATCACGGTGCAGCAGGTGGATATTTCTTGTAGGAATTGTAGCTTGCAGCTGGCTAAGATCAACCCACCACAATGTCTCACAAGAGACAGAAAAAATCTGCTTCGTTCAGTAGCTCTCCCTTTGCACCCAAGACCTAGGCAAGCAAGTGCTCCTGGGAGGTGATCTTGGCTGATGTTGCCAGGGCTCCTGTGCCAGGCTGGATATGCCACAGGGACAGGTAGGAAGAATATAGGCCACCTAAAATAACCCTGAACAGCATTAGTAACTGATACTATGGGAGAGACTATTCTCTCACACAGATTACACCAAAACCCTACCTACAACTCCTGACTGATGAGGAAATTAAACCATTGTGTTTGGGAGGTACTTTAGGGCACACATGACTTTCACAAACACAGCAATGTGTATGTAGGTGCCTGCCTCAATTCCCTCAGTGGCAATGAAGTTCTACCATCATAATATCACTCCCTCACTGTGGGTAAGCCAAACACAGAATGGCAAGCTAAGCATTCCCCTCACAGAAGTCTCTCTAGCACATAAAGCTACAACAAGGTTCACTTGCACCCCTACAGGAACGGGAATCTGCATTTCCAGCTAAAGCCTCACAGCTCTGTGCCATCTAAAACCACTTCTGAATGCACTCTATCATTGCAGGCCCTTGGCAGAGAGCTGTAAGCCTTTGTAATGTGTTGAATGTGCACAGACCCAGGTAGTATCCCTCTCTCCATTGTCTCTCTGTCTTTAGGCTAACCATAGCAAGTTCTGATGAGCTTTGGCTCAGCTTCATCTTAGCATCTAAGTGAAGTGGTTTCCCCCTCTTCAATGCAATTCTGTTGCAGTCTCCTTTGCCTCCTCACTTCATCAGCTCAAGTCCTTCTTCATCTCAGCATTGCCAGTCACCTGTGAAAGCTCTCCTGACCAGGACAATTCCTATCCTGCAGCCTGGAGTGCCTTAAAACTCAGAGCATTTTCTCTTCAAGACAGTGGAGAGAGGGAAGGGAAAAAGGGCAAGAGCCTTTTCTTTCAAAGTAGTTACCCATATATGCAGTAAAAAAGGGTTTCACTAAATGGTTTAGTGATCCCTTCCTCTGCTCTCCAGGCCATCAGAAACTCAGTTCCTCAGCACTGACCTCATCCCAGACGGAGGAGCAAGGCTACAGCACACAGAGAATGGACAAGCTGCAGGGGAAGTCTGCGCAGCTGCAGAGCTTTACTGCTTGATTCAGTCACTCAGGATTTGGTCTGAGGATGCTTTGTGCTGAGAGAACATTAAGAGGGGGCCACACACATGGTCCAAATAGAGAGAGAGGTGGCAGCATCACGGAGTGCCAGGATAAGGTGCCAGGTGCTCAGGCAAGAACACCACAACTGTCCCCACAGCCAGACAGAGCCACATGCTGCCAGCCAACAGCCTGCAAGGTTGAGAAAGAGCCAAAACTCCAACAGTTTCTCTGCCAACAGTCTTGGCATGCTCCCCCCCTTCTCCCCTTCTGTGCTCCTGGAAGTGCTATGGGTCACTTCTGGGCACAAAGATGTCCTGCAGTTCATAACAGGTATTCAAAGCTGCTGGAACCTGAGCTGGAGAACAGGTATAGCACAGTCTATGGCAAGCTATATTGTCCTCCATACTCCTGTCCTCCTCCCCACCGCCCTCCAATCCCCTGTAAAAAGATTTCTCATTTGCCAAAGTTTAACAGTGAGGAGGGGAAAAATATCTGTCAAATTCTTAACCTCAATTGGATTTACCAAAAGCCCTTTGGAAACAGCTGCTTGAGGAAGATTTCTGTCGAGCCCGTGTTCCAGATGCAGACATTTGGTTGCTCGGTTCCTTGTTGCCGCTTTAGTCTGTACTTTTGCCACACCTGGACCTGTCCTCACCTGGAATAACCAGTCCCTTCCATGGCTTCTGCCTAAGGCCCTGCTGCTGTTGGGAGGTGAGGCCCAGCTCCTCATCTGTTCCCTCCCTTGAGGAATGTGTCACGGCATGGCCTCACACACACTCACTCATACATGGCCTGTCTGTGACTCCCCACTGAGCATAGAGAGGAAGATCTAAAGCAATCACAGTAGCTTCTTCCCTGACACGTCATGTACTAGAAAACTGTCCTGTGCTTACAAGCCTGGGGAAAAAACCTCCTTTATCACTTCTGTGCAAAAATAAGCTCTGTGCCAGAAGTGTTGGATGCTGTGTGTTTGCGAGGCAGGGTGGCAGTATCAAAGCACTTTACAGCCAGGTAACAGGAACTCCAGGAGAAGTCCCATTTTTGTGTCACACAGCGAATAAGGGTACATTAGCAAAATGAAGTTATAAGCAGCTACTTAAGCATGCTCTGAACAAGCTGGTTTGGATTTTAGCAGAAAGGTAGCCTCATTCATGTGGACTTTGTATCCAGATGAGATCCAGGCTATATTAATTCAAATGCAGAACACCATGAGATTGTATCTGAGTTATCATTGCACGCTGCTCTCCTGTGCCCTGTAAATACACCTTTAGTATAGATGAGAACAGAACCTCTCTCTTTTGAATACATCAGGTGCCTTGCCATGAGATCCTGGGATACATTTGCCTGGTGAAACCCCATGGAAACTTGCAGGACAGACTACCACTTTCTTTTTGGAAGCCTGTTCTCCAAAGCTGTTGTGCTACATATGCATCATTCTCCCAAAGAAATTTTTTCTTGCCACATTATCAGATGACACAATTCACATTTTTTAATTTGTAGAAATGGGATGTTAGAAAATATACAGTCTGTAGAAATGTTTTCATGTTTCCTTCTTAAGTTTTCATAAAAAGCAGATCATGTTTTAAAAAAAAAGTTATTTTATTTTTCACTTTCTCACTGGTCACTAGGCAGAAAATAAGGCTCTAATTTGGAGGCAGGTGGATTGCTGGTTGTAGCCATGGGATATTTCATATTTCTCAACTGTATTAGCAAATTTCCCTAGAAAATACTTTCCTAAATCTCAGTGGTTCTCTTACAAAATTTAACAAAACACTGAGTTTTTGAGGAATTATTTGGAAATCTTCTATGTTAACTACTATTCTTCTGAATGGTGGAACTAATTTGGAGAAATTATTACTCACTCTGGAAAAATTTAACCAAAGTGCAAACAAGCAAAAAAGACTTGACACCAAAAGCCATGAGGAAGCAGTCCCTCGCCCTGAACTGCTCACCAGGTTCTCCATAAATGCAAACTCTTGTTCCAGCTCCTTTTTCAGAATTTGTGAGTCTGTGCAGGGAAACTGCTTTTGCATTGGTACATTATGGTTGCAAAATGTTACCTATTACCCTTGCAAACATTGTTAAGTGAGTAATGGACAGCCTCAGTGGTCCACGTAATGGCAACACTGTAAATAAAATCCATTCAGCCATTACCTTTATTTAGTGGTACAGAACAAGCAAAAAGCAAGTTCATGGACAAAAACGTCATTAAGGTTATGCGATGACAGAGATGATTACATAGGTACTGTTCATCTCTGAGACTTCGTGTTTCCATATGCCTCATAAATGATAATTTTTAATTCAACTAATTACAGACACGCTGTGGTGACTCCCCAGACAGACTTGTAGTTCTTTTAGGTTATTGTTGTTATTATTATTATTATTGTAAGCACTATTCAGAATCTAGGCCCTTTGACACTAAGCACCACCCATATGTAAGTAGGCAAATATGGTCTTTACTGAAAATACTTTGTAATTTGAGGCCTAGTCAGCATCATTTTTGTAACTATCCCACTTCACAGAAATGGTTTTACAGAATATTGCACTGAACACTATAACCACATTTATGTTAGTTAAGCTTACATCTCCAAAGAAGTCATGCTGAACTAAGTATGCCATAGTAAAGTAATATTCATGCCAGAACTGTACCAGTTTGACTATACTGGGATCCAAAATCACAGTGAAAACAGTATTCAAAGAGTCTAATGAAAACTGGGGGCACACATAAGTTAGAGGGCAGAAGATACCATCAGTACAGACATAAGCAATTTTACATCTGCACTTCAACTTAACTCCTTTAAGAATCTTCTATCTGAAACAAAGATGCCTTGTTTCCAATAGCTTTCTCTGTTGTGTTTGACTGGCTTTTTAACTGCATTATACTGAGGCTGCACTGTTACTCACCTCTCGTTAAATTCCAGGGAATCCACATGAATTATGAGCATTATGAAAGTCCAGAAAGAAGGAAGCTCATGCCTTACTATTCACTAGAGAATCTGCAAGAGACACTGACCAACCAATGGATCCTCTGATGCACACACAGTAAGATGTGAGCCTCAACTGAACCCTTCTGTAATTGGGGCATTTGGACAGTCCCTGTCCCATGTGGATTTCCTGGACTCTAATAAGCTTGAGCTCATTCTGTAGTCTTTCCCTAAGGTATAATAATAAGGTCTCTACCTGTCACCTATTTCATGTAACTTGTGTGAACTTAATACCTTGCAGATTTCTGATTGGGTGCAAAATGCATTTGAAATTAGATAACAGATTCAAAAGTTACACAGACTTACCCAGTGCAATTACATTCTCAGTATTCCATTCGAAAAGCAGGCCTAACAATAAATTCAAGTTAAACTGACAAGACATTTTTCTAAGGAACACAATGATCCCTATTTAATTTTCTTTAAAAAAAACCCCCAAAAACGAAGAAACAAACAATACCCACAATCAAACAAGGCAAAAAAGAGCTGGATATGGAATCAGGACCCCTCACCTGTGCAGTACTCAGCTTTCTCCTGCTTCACTCTTGTGCTGCCATATCCCTCCTTGCTGTTGAGTATATCCCACCTCAACCCTGCTCTGACTTGTATGGAGCATAGGAAGAGAGTAGGCAAGGGTTTCGTGAGTGCTCCTGGATTCTGTGACTGGTGGCAGATTTAGGGCCAACAGTTTCCTTGGCCCTCAAGATACGCATGGGCTGGCAGCAATCTTTCACATGCTGATAATTTGTCACTATCATGCACAAACCTCTGGAATTGAATGCCAAATTATCCTTCTGGGTTTAATGCCTCTCTTTAGAAGTTTCTCTGTTTCAAACCACCTCTGTTCACTCTAGATCTCTTAGGGCTTGAGGATTTGACATGATGATGGTAGGTTGCAACCTGGATAGCTTTTTTCCTTCCATGCTACATTACTCCAAGGAGGGTTGGTAGATCCTCTGCGTGTTCTGAATTCAACTTCCTACTAGACAGGTTTCTTGGAAGAAAATTCAGCAGACAGCTACATTCTCTAGAGTCAGATCATAGGATAAATAGCTCTGGACTGTGCTGGTCCCATATGAGGTATCAATGCTGTGTCTTTGTCTTATCACTCCACTCCTCCTCCTTTGCAAACCCAAAACACTTTCTCTGAATAATCACAACTGCACTGATTTCTTCCCTCTGCAAGGGAGCCTGGAGCCTGCATTGGTATTTTTAGGTAACCCACTTGCTCTGTTTTCTTTCCCCTCTGCGAATAGATCCTTCACCTATTCTAACCCATACTGCCACATACATTTCTTGTCTCTTTCTTGGTTCTGGCACTCTTGGAACTGTAAATGCAGCACCTACTGCTTAGATACTGGGCTACACTATCTCTTTATGCTGCATTTTTTGTGTCTGGACTCTCCCAGGGCTGAACACAATATGATCAGAAGGACAGAGCTAGAGACCACAAAAAGACCTTGATAAAAGTGGTTAAAGTATTATACAGAAAGCCAAGCAAAGATTCCAATTAGTATTTTATGATTATTCATCAAAGCTGATAAAGATCCCATTCCAAAGGAAGGGGGTAAGAGACCCAGCCAGCCGAGGAAGGTAACCTACAACTGAGGAAGTTTCTCATCCGAATTCTTTCCTGTTTCATAGTGACAGCTGGCATAAAATATCACTGCTCTGACATGAGGAAGCTTTGGTGCCAAATTTGTGAAAGTATGAAAAACAAAACCAGTAACAAGGCAGGATCAGTCAGTCCTTTTGTAGCTGTGTCCAACCCATGCTGCTGCTGTCTCAAAGGAGTTTCCCCTTTGGTTCTAACCATATCCTGGTTTCTCATTCTTCTCATCTTCTGCTTTGGGAATCTTAGGAATGTCGTTTTACATATACCCCTTTCAGCCTGTGTGCTTTGTCCGACCCAAGTCCTTTTTTGCCTCATGCTTTTCATTCTCAATTCCAGTCTTTCAGTTTCTGTTTCCTTTTTATTTTGGCCCACAAACAACCCCCTTCCACAGCATGTCAACAGCAGTGGGAAGTAACCTAATTAATAGTACTTTGATAGGCTACCCCACACATGCACACACCCAGTATCCCACTGGCAATTCAACAGCCCTCTCTCAAGAAAGGAAAATATTTCCATACTAATTAATAACAACATCGGGTATTTCTGGGCAGAAGGATCTGGGATTCCCATCTGGGCCTAGATCTCTCGAGCTGACAGAGCAATTGTACCTCAGAGCATATTTCCTTTTCCAAATCCTTGTGTCATTAACTGCTTACACTGTTCTCTGTATCAAATATTTTCAGCCTGGCTTGTATGTTAGCTGGTATCTCTGCAGCTGACTTCAGGCTGAATTCCTTCAGCGCTCAGACTGTGTCTCTCATTTAGCACATGGCATTTATTCACTTATTCAGAAACCGACATTGCTTCCCTTCTCTGTTCTCCATCAGGATTCACACGAACCAAGGACCTTTCCATGCTGTGGTTCTCAAAGGACACGGGTGCTACAAGATCCATTTAAAATGTCTCTGCTGCTTGACTTGCCCCAGCATCCACTTCCCTGTCTCTGTTTCTGCCACAACCACTCGCAAAAAAATCAAGTGCTGTTTTTGAAGTATTTTACAGAGGACTAGTTCTCAGTGCTGAGTGATCTACAGCACAGATTTTTTTCCAGATGCAGTAGGATAGACCCACTCCTGTCTTCACCCAGGAGAAGGGAAATGTGGGAAATGCTTCATTAAGCACTGTGCTCAGAGATGGGATTCCAGAGAAGAGAGGGAGCATATGTGAATTTTGCTGTCCTGTCTTGGAATCACCAAAAAGGAGAGTTATGTCTCCTGCCTCTAGAGGTGACCTGAGACAACGTGCCTAGTTGCTTCTTCTGCATCACAGAGGAGCAAAAGAATGAAAACCAAAGAAAGTGTAAGAAACACCAGTGCTTCTGAAAAAATGCAAAAGACAGAAATTTCCCAGTAAGAAAAAACAATACAAGTCCTATACCACCTGTCAGCTCCTTAAAGATATGACGAATAAGCAAGAGCATTTCCTAGAAGCCCTATACAGACAGCATTGTGCTAGGGGACAACAGTATTGAAGCCAGCCAGCCATATTCATCACATACACTGGAGGACAGCAGGCTGTCTCCAGGAACTGTTGAAGAAGCAGAAACTCCAGCAGCAGCTACAGAAAGGTTCACAGCAAGCAGGAAGATGCCCACAAGCACGGATCCTTCTCCTGCACAGAGTGAGCTGGAAAAATACTTTCAGATAAGCATTTAGACAAAATAAATGCACAAAGAGCACATTTACAAAGCAGAGGGACAGTGAAAGGCATCTTCAAAACTGAGTAATAAGGAAGGAACAGTAAAATAGAAAAAAAAAGGAAAGGAGGTAAGTGAGGTGCCTCCAGTTGTTCTGTCATGGCAGTACTGCCTACACAGCCTCCACTGCGTCACATACCCCACATGTCCACTTCCCATGCCAGCCTTCTTCCAAAGACCCTTTTATCCCTCAGCTGCTGTCTAAGCCTCAGTGCATCCTCAGTGTCCTCAGTGCCTGCTTGGCCACGGTATGGCCCAGTCTCCCCCATCTCCAGAAACAACCATCCTTGTACAGCAAAGCACGTTTCCATCCCAAGGCTGAAAGAAGGAAGGATGGGAGGAATGAAGGAAGAAAGGATCCCTCTTAAAGGAGGGGGAAGAAGGATGGAGACAGAGGCAAATAGGAGGGAGAGTGAAAGGGGCCATAAATTCCCTTCTAATTCCAAATAATTCCGATTACACGGATGAGTAGTTTTCAATCAGAAAGATAATCTCAAAGATAGATGGCAGGATAATTGCTCGTCGGCGCGACGTAAATATTGTGTCGTTTCTATTAATCTCAGCGAATCGGGTGTCAGGGTTGTCACTCATTCATCAAAACAAATTAAAAAAAAACATATTAAAAAAAGAGAGATGCTGGAGGGAGGGGGATGTGTATCCAATAAGCAGCTGAAGGCGTGTAAGGTAATGAATGCTGCTTACATGCTGTTTGCATTTTTTTGGTTTATAAAAGCTAAAGGTAACTCAGGTAGTAGGTCTTTATTAACCTCTTGGTAGGGACTTCAAGGGGCACTGCTGCATGCAGAATAGAGCAGTAGGGTGCCAGAATGGGACTGTGGTTGCACAAAGGGGGAAGGAAGTGGACAATACACCCTAGATATGGAGGTGAATAGTCTGGGATTAACAACAGACAGAAGGTACTGCAGAATCACAGTACCTGGGAAAAAGGACACAGACCACAGCATAAAACAAAGCCAGTGCCTCCACTTGCCATGTATAGGAGTGGGCGGGGAATAGAGAGCGATGTGGGGAAGCCAGCAAGAAGGGCACACAGTGTCTTGGTGCAATTTTGCCACACTGGCTGCAGAATGACAGCATGTCACTGCCCCACTGCTATACTAACCTGTCTCCCTAGCACTGTATTCCCAGGCATTGTGCACCTCCTGTCCCTGCTCTTGCAAACCTTTGAGGAGGCACACTCTCCACAGCCCTTTGGTCCCCTAACCTTAATGTATAAGCTTAGCTCATTTCTGCTAACTCAGAAGGACCAATTCCCCCCACACACCCCAGCACTCTCCCCCACTCCTGGAACCCCCTCGCTCTGCCTAGGACAGTGCTCTGGTCTGGGACCCAAAGGTAACAGCTTGGGTCACACAGTGGTCAGTCACCAGTGTTTGTCCAGGGACTGAACAGAGAAATTCCTTGGGAAGACCTTCATTTCACTCTGATATCCATTTCCTGAGGGTTGACACCCCTTGCCCCAAGGTCAGGAGCCCTAGACTTGGCTTCTGCATAAGGGATTTTTTCTAGTGGACTCTGGGCTGAAACTACCACTTACACCACACAGCTGGCACGGTTTTACTGGTAGAGATCTGGTGGGAAAGAGGAACCTCAAAGAAAAGGCTCCCCATACAACTTTCACCTTATTCAAGGACATAGTCACATCTTTCCAAGAGTGGAAAACTTCTGCTTGGCAGTAGCCTCCAACCACGCCATCCTGTGCTGCAATTCACAAGACCTGGTGAACCAGTCAAGGCTAGATAAGCATTTGAACAAATTACTTCCCCAGTAAATTCTGCCATGGGCAGGAGCAGTTCATAACTGCACAGGGAGTTTTGAACTCCAAGTCAGGACTGTTTGAGCCTGCTGCTCACTGCTGTGATGCACAGGGAGCCTTTCAGTGCATGATCATCTGTAGTCACTGAAGTGGTGCTCTTCAAACAAGTCCCCTCAGTTTGCTGTTGGTAATGTAGCATTTCTGTGGGGCTTGAAGAAAGCTGTTTCCTTTCCCTGCCTGTAGTCTGGAGCAGCCAAAACACTATCTGAAGCTTGTGCTCTTGACTGATGTGTCATAAGTACTTTGGGATGAAAGAAATGCAAAGGTATTATGTTTTTAGACTAGACTTAGTTTGTCAACCAAGACAAGTGTTGCCCTCCTGAGCTCCAGGAAGCAGCTGACAGGTTTTGGCTGTAAGTTTAGCTTAGTGCTTTGCAAACAGCCTGCTAACACAAGGACCTGAACCAATGCCCAGGGGCTGTCTTCACTAAACGGATTTGAAAAATGCTAATGTTTCATCCTTGGCCACATCAGTGTTTCTGTTCACTTACTGCTGCTGTTTGCTAAGTGAATTTATTTATTTAAAAAGCTGTTCTATTGGTAGCTCCTGTTGAGAGTTGGAAAAAAATTCCCCATGAACATCCTCCTGCTGTGCTATGGCAGAACTGGTCCCAGTGTAGGCCAAGATTCTTTAGAATCGAGTGCTGTTCCCAGTGTACAGTCCTCTGGGACAGAAGGAGCAGGGATACTTGTCCCAGCAATACAGTTAACCTGTCAATCCAGCCAGCAACGCAATATCCGCTGGGGATTTCAGTTGCTTCTGTGATCCTGCCTTATCTCCCTACATCCCTCAGCGTGCCCACTGCTCGGTGAAATGTCACTTCTCTCTCCCCTTCTTCCAAGATGGAAGTGAACTTGTGTGCCTGGCAGGGCGGCTGACAGACATGAGCTGAAAGACTGTCAAGGACCAACTGAAAAGCAGGCAAGCCACACTGTGTCAGATTTCGGGGTCTAACACTGCAGCTTTCTGTCTGCTCTTGGGCTAACTCTAAATGGAGCCTTTGATAGGCAGCCAGGCAGCTGTCATCACAGGGTCAGCCTCAGAAGCAGGAGGGTATGAGCACCTGGGAAGCACACGCAGTGAGCAGAGAATAGCAGTTGTATTGTAAGGCTGGGTACTTCAGGGAACCAGGAACACCAGAATGAGGGGAGAGTCAAGCATTGGACAATGGGATAGACCAAGGGCATCCATCCAAAAGTCCTAGAGAAACCTTAGTTCCACAATGACTTCTCAGGGGTGAAGTGTCCCACAAAACCAGCCTCCTACTAACTCCTTGGTGCTCATTTCCCTAAGAAATTAGCCTAAAATAGACTATTTAAGGGGAAAGACTGCAAAGGCAATTATCTTCAATAACCACCCAATGTCATTTTTCATTTTCCATGGGTAAGCATTGTATCAGCCTTTGACTTCCCCATGGCTGGAGTCAGAGCCTCTAAACAGTTCTTGATGTTCAAGAAGAATATGCCTCCCCTCCATGTCACACCTTTCCCAGTGAGTGCCTGAATGGCTCCCCATTAAAAATGATTGAGCTCATCCCTAATGGATGTGAGGGAAGAATAAAACACCACACTGAATGGAAGCTCCTCAATTCCCTCACTCAGTGGCCTGATCCCTATACTCATGCAAGCTGGAGTTACAATTTACAGCTAGCAGTTAAGTCTCTGCTCTTACTCTGGAATAAGAGTTGGTCCTTCGTTTAGTGGACCTCTTTCAAGGTACCTCTGCAACAGCTTTGCAAGGTAACCAGCTGACTCTCTAGACCTTCAGGTAACATGTTTTTCAGAGACATGGAAAAACAGCATCTGTGGAGTGAAGGTTTTGTCACAAGTGAGAAACTGGATGAGACTGAAAATGTTAGTAAAGAAAGAACAGCTAGTCTTCAGCATGAGACCAGCTCAAAAACTTAGTCACACCAGGGTCTATTCTAGGACTGCTGAGGTATATTATGTGTGACCTGGAAACTGAGAAGAACAGATGGTAGAAAAATGCAGACAACAGCCTGATTTAAATTAATCATGATAAAAGTGGACTGAGAAGAACCTCAGAATGAGAAAGCTGGATAGAAAGGCAGAAAATGTGGGTGAAATCCAGCAACAGCCAAAGCCAAGCAATGCAGACTGCCCTCAGAGAGTACTTCCATAGGCCTGGAATTTCCAAATGAATACAGGAAACATATACAGTTAAATGGAAATGACCTTTCACTCTACAATGATGGCAAGGGGAAAAAAAAAAGGAAAAGAAAATAAAACCACTCATTCAGATACACCAGGAAAGAAATACTAAGCAATAATAGATAGGAATTTTTGCCCCTATGTTCTGTGCTCTACAGTAGCACTATCTCCAAGAGTATGCCAGAAGAATCTCTCAGGAGAAATGTTGCTGCTCGCCATCTTTTTCCTTCCTTACATACCATCACAAAGAGCAAAAGGGAACCATGCCCTCAGAGAGATCTATCATACTT